CAAGATTATATGCTAGCATCTTGAGTTTAGGGTAAGAAAAAAATGTTCTGAGAATTTCAGATGTTTTGCAATCAGCTGATCTGCAAACATGTTGAAAGTGACGTGACACTGCAGTTTATTTTTACTTCAGAATCCATTTTTAAAATTGTGCCTCCTCCTGTTTAAAGGCTTGGGTGAGTTTCTTGGTTTGTGCTTTTTTAGCTCTTCAGAGTTGATTATCAAGGTAACATCTCCAGATATCCAGATTTTGTACGTAAAACAATTTTTGTATGGTTGACAGCAATCAGGTTTGGCACTACTTCAATTTTCTGCCAGAGCCTGACCTGGACCAGACTAAATTATAATATTAATCTAGCTTTGTGTTACAAACCCATTGCTTGATGGCAGATTACATTATGGTAAAAGGAAAGGCCTCTTTAAAATAAATTGCCACCATAGAGTGTCATGTTTACGATTGTGATTGACAGATGGATCTAGGTTTTTATTATCTTGAAAGAACATATTTCTGGGAGAGAAGCTGACCTTTTTATTTGTCTTGATTTCCTACTCATTAAGTGTAGAGCTTTTTTACACTCTTTTGTTGTATGTTTTTTTGTTGTTTTGTCATTTAAATGTATTTCATCGTTATTTCATTAGACTGGTAGCAAGCCATACAAAATTAAAAAGACACTGTGAACAAAACCCCCATCCCAATCAATACACATTCCCCCTTCAATTATCCTCTAGTCACTAAAGACACAACATCATCAGGTTTCTGCAGTACATCCCAAGCAGAGAAGGAGGAGTGTGGTTGATCCCAGCCAAAGAATGTTCTAGTTAAATACCATCCTTCAGGCTAAGACCTGCTTAGGAGAAGCTGTGAATAATTGTGTCTTAAAAGTAAATGATTGCAATACAGTACAGCAAGGAGAGACAGAAGAAACTACAGTAGCATCAGTCAAAGAAACAGTTCTTTGAAGAGGAAGTGATCAATGGCTACAAATAGTGATGACTCCAGAGGCTTTCAAGATTATTAAGTATCCTTGAAAATGTAAAAGCAGCCTGTTGTTTCCAAAATTCAGTGTGAACCTCAGAACATATGAATTATGATATCATAATGACACTGTTTACACTGCTATTTTGAGTGCTGTTGAAATGGAATGAGGTTTTGAAATGTTTTTAACAGGAATTGCACTGGAGAAGAAAATTTAAGATATACTGTACCCTGCCTTCTTTTCTGAATTAAAACGGACTTTTCCCATGACATTTATTCTCGTTTAGCTCAAAAGCTGTCTTTTAAAATTTGTTTCAGCTTTTGAAATGAATAAATCTGTCAAATAATAACCCAAGCAAACAAGACCTCCCCAAAAAAACAAAACAAACAGAAGCGGAAAACTGAAATGCAATCTTAGTGATCAATAAAGTAATCTTGAAACTAAAAATGTAACGCATCTCAGATCATTATAATCTAGTAGCATTATTATTTTGATGAAAAAATCTTTGAATTTGGCATTTCATTTGATATCATATATTATGTAAAGTATGATGTCAAAATGTCTCTAGGAATTATACATCCATTGAGAAAACAGTATTCATGCAAATGCATTATGAAAGCCAATTTCATTAAATATGCTCCAGCAAGAAGAGCAGCAGCCATTAAGAAACCACAAACTGAAATAACCAGGCTCTGGGCGTTAAGTTAATGTATTTTAAACCTACAGCAGCTCCATGACTCACTCAATGGGTATAGAAATGTTTGCAGCAAATGGAAACACAAACTAAAAACAGCACAGAAAACTGTTAAATCCTGAACGGCATACCAAAACAGTGAAGGAAATGAAATCATCATCTGATTTCTGAAGGGTGTTGTCCATACTAGTACAATGACTCCCATTTTTCTTTGCTTCTGGTATGCAAACCATGTCAACAACGTCTCTTGATCGCAGGTACCTTCTTTGAATTTGTTAGGATTGATCTGCAAAGTGTGAAAGGAGCAAAAAGAACAGCAATCTTAAGCTTGGCCTTTTTCAGCTGCCAGCCACACAATCAGTGCCTCTTGAGTACCAAACTACAGTTGTGTGCTAAGAAAGACCTCTTTCAATACTGTATGTCAGCAATGTTGGCATTCTGATTCAAGGAATCTTTGTTGTTCAGACCTGCCTATAAAGCTTTCCCTACAATTCACATCTTGATGGAAGAAGTTAGTTTCTCTTCCTTCTTAATTCAGTTGCCAATACAACCAGACTTGACGGAGCCTCTGACAAAGGAAGCAATTTCCTAAAGACAGAAGCAATTTCTGTTAAACCCATGGAAGAATGCAGTTGTTAAATAAGAATTTCGATATCAGAGGTATCAGGCAGAGGGGAGTCTGAACTAGAAATACACATTCCTGATGGGTATTCAAGGTTGCATTTCCTCTGTTGAGCTCTGCCATTTTCACTGCCAGTTACCCAATGTGAATCCAGTGAGAGACAGATCTGCTGAAGTTTCAATATGGAGCCTTTACTGTTTAGTAAAACTAGGAGATCACTACAAATCAAATGTGTTGTTCAATTTTCATTCAGAAAGGAATGTAAGAGGCTGTTTTTAGGTCTGTTTTTTCATGTAAAAGCTTTCTAGGTTTCCCTAGGTGTTTCCTACTCTGCCTGTGAAGACGTGGAGACTACATTCATTTTGCTAACCTAATCCATCATCAAGACTCATCAGATGCAGAGATTCTGAAAGAATGATTAATGACATCGATTCCAGTAACAGCAGATGAAAATCAGTTTACTTTTGCCAGCTCATATAAAATATAGCCTAAATCTAAATTAAAACCTCAATCATATGTCTTAATGAGAGTTATTAAACAGAAGCTGTGAGGAAATGTTACTGTATATGACATACAGCAGCTGAGTAGCTCACACTGTATTGTTGCATACTCGTTCATACAGGTAGGTGTTCATGTGATATTCTTTGCATGTTAAAGGTCTGGGTCATTAATGAGAAACGTGAATTGTAAAACTAGACCCATCTCTCTTTTCTGTTGCAGAGAAATGCTGGAAAGAAATGTCAGAGAATCCTGTCTACATAGGATTGCTGTTATTGTTGAGGATGTCTTTAATGTGGTGATTTTAATCAGGTAAAGTGGTGCTAACGGCTTTTATACCCATGTAACATTCACAGTTTTACCAATCTGTTTCTGGGATTAAATTATTATAATAAGAGTTCTGAGTTTTTTCATATACAGTATGTGGGTTTATAATCAATATATTGGCAATAAAAAATATTGTTTTCCTCTTTTAACTTGATTATCGTAGTCCAATGGAAAAAATATTGTATGCAATCAATCCTGAAAACTATCATATTGTTGTTATTATTAATACAAAGTAAGCTTTCATCTTTATGAATCTGCTTTCCTTTGTGGAAATTTGTGCTAGGTCCCTTACAATCATGACGTTACAAAAAGAAGTCGTTGCTCTGGAATTAGACCAGTGAGACAGGAGCTGCCAGATTCATTTCAGAAACGTACTACACTGACAGGCTGAAGGAACCGAACCTTTTCGGTCTTGGAAAGAGAAGACCAGGAGGGCACCTGATCCATATCTTCATAATCCTCCAAGACACTGACAAAATCAACCCAGTGGACTTTTTCTGGATCAGCCAGAAAACACAAACCAGTTGACACAAAAGGAATCTATGTGGGTTTCCAGCGTATTTAAAATCGAGAACAGGAGGCACCTCTTTATGCAGTTGCTTGGTGCCCCCAAATCAAATTGTATTTAAGCCTGGATTCAATAATTCAGCAATATTGTTTAAAATGGAACTATCTTGCGCGTTAATGAAGGTTTCTTAAATTATTGATACTTTCAGATTAAACAAATGTACAATTCGCAATGTCACACTTAATTTATCTCTATTGCATAAAACAGAATTAAGAATCGCTAAACCGCTGCACATCAAACAGGTCTCAAAATGAGGTTGACGCCAATTCCCGTAAAAGTCAAGAGATCTGTTCATCTCTGCACCATTCCATATACTGTATACTGTATATACAGTATGTGTGTGTGTTGTCAGTGAAGGGAAGGAATAAAACTGGGTCAGCGATGTGTCTAAGAGAGTTAAGTGGAACTGTCGATTGGATCTACAAAGGTCCAATTTGCCGTGGCTTCTTGTATCGTCACGTGATATTCACCTACACATATATACTGTATATATATCTCGTCTTCGTGATGTATCTTTTAAGGTCTGTTTCCATTTTTTTTTTACATTTCCATTTCCATTTGCTCTTTGTTTTGCTTGTTAACTCCGGTGCCATAAACCGCCATGCAGATGGTTTGTACTGTCTTATAAGAGCCAGATCCGTTCTGTTATTTTAAAAGGGTTTTTTTTCTTTTTCACCCCTAATTAATACACGACCCACATCCCTCTCAAGGTCTTGCCCTATGTGTCTCGTGAGTTTCTGTGTAGGTGTGTATTTGTGCTGCAAATCACAAAGACAGAAGTAATGAATCATATCTCCTGAGTTTCTCTTTATTAAAAAAAAACCTTACTATACGATTTTCTTTTTTTTTCCCCACGAGTAAAATGTAAAGATGCGTCACCGTCCGTTTATATGTTTTTTTTAATTGTGTGATGTAATACTGTACAGTAGGTGCGCCTGTTATATAATATTGTAATCCCCGAGCTCCAGCAATTGGCTAACAAATTTACAATTTTGTATTTGTCGGTTACAATGGCATTATTATCATATCGCACGACGTTTTTAATTTCTGCTTTTTAAAGTGAAAACCAGAGGGAACCCAGATAAGGCGAAAGTGGGGTGAAATAATGGCAGTGTCGTGATGACTGACCGCCTTGCATATTTAATAGGGGAACGAAAAAGGATGCATTTTAAAAAAAATCCAGTCGAAACGGTCCCTTCTTGAGGCGGGAGGGGTGGATTGCAACCTACAATGTCGATGTCTGATTGCAGGATATTTGATGATGAAATTCTCATCCTGGCTGGTTATAGGGTATCACTCTATAGGGGGGAAGCTCATTGCAATATTAACCAGGCACAACCTCACAGTCCCATTATATATAAACTGACATCTGAGGGAAATCAATGGCAGAATCAGTGTGATTCTCCTTACTGAATCACAAGAGAGTCTACACCTATTGGTCAGAAAAGCGTAAAAGAGGAAAGGCCCACACAGTGATCATATTCTGCGTTTTTGTCTTCCTCTTTTGACGATATTTGAAATCTGCTGGAGTACGACTGAACAATCAGAAAACGTCCTGGTATTTGTCTTTAAAGGTGAGTACGTAATCGAGCAGCCCAGCCAAATTGAATGCGAAAATAAAACGCATAATAATTTTATTTATAGGAGGTATGCAATTATATACGTCATTGTAGTGTGAAATTGTAAAGGTAGCAGGTGCAGCCGTCCTTAACGTGCTATCAGTCTTTCTTGTAGGTACAAAAAATAGTATGTTGCATTTCTTTCAACCCATCTGAAATGTATTTCTATAGAGTGCAAGAGAAAGGGTGAACCTCTGGCTGAAACAGTGAAATATGTGCAGTATTAAGTGTCCGTGCGTTTTGAATTGATTTAGTTATGTTTGGCGATAACCTGAGTGATATCTGTTCATTTTAAATCTTCATCTCCGCGGTGTATGGCTGTAACCGAGTGATGCATATTAATAATGAAATGGTGTACAGGCATCCGTCAGATGTGATTTCTGTCAAAGTGGTGATGATTGTAACATAACTGGGTTCCAGCTCATCCTAGATTCGTGCAATTAAGGAATGCATGTATAATTGACCCGTTCGCACGCACTCCCGAGGAGCAACAAATCACAAAATACAATTGCATATTGTCGTGTGTTCCGTCGTATTTAGGTTTGGTTTGTGTTGCATTTTTTTTTCTCATTTTCTGCTCGAGTGATTCGGTAGCGTGAAAGTCCTGTACAGTCCACCTCCAGCTGGAGCAGGACACGCCAAAGTGATAGCTTGCCTACGTGCGCTTTTGGGTGACATCAGTACACATACGTTATGCGTGTGGCAATAACGTTTAAAGAAAAAAAATAGATATCGTTTGAATAATTTAACGCAGGTTATTTTTTCTTGCTCCGCTTAACAAGCACATAGCTACAGTTGGCGGTCCAGATCAGCCCATTAATTTTAATTTGTTCTATTGATTCTTGCCCTTTTACGCAGCAGAGAGCCCAAGATGGATGTTTTTATGAAGGGACTGTCCAAGGCAAAAGAGGGAATGGCAGCAGCGGCGGAGAAAACCAAAGAGGGGGTGGCGGTAGCTGCAGAAAAAACCAAGGAAGGTGTCATGTATGTCGGTAAGAAAGGAATTCATTCGCGCACTTATTGAGAATTGTCGACTCGTGCCATCAGGGAGTCATTAAGCGCATCAAAGGGGCGAGACCTGCAGGAAGACGCATAACATTGCGGATTGCTTTTTACAGAGAAAAAAAAAAGCCACTCGGACCACCCCACCCCCCTGCCAGTGTCTTCTGTTGAACGGCAGAGAGACAACGCATCCCACTCTCCCCCATCCCCGTTCAGATGGGGTGCAATGGATTGAGGGATTCGTTTCGTTTCTACTACGCTCTCGTGAAAAATAGGCTGTAGAACAGTGAATAAATCAAGCAGAATATGCATTAAAAAAATTAATTGTTGAAATTCGTCCCCCCGGACTTCAATTTCCAAACCACTGCCCCAATATGGTGACCAGAGACACTGCGCTGTTCAACTAGTAACACTTGGTCATTATACAGTAGATCCTGTGGGATCTGTGGGATGAAATATGCTATGTAAATGTAAGAAATTATTATATTGTAATTTAGTATTTAGATTGTTCACTGCTGCAGAGTCTCTAACACATTGGACATTTGTCAATGAGTCCCAGATACATAGCTTTGTACAAGAAAAGGCTCTATGGCTTATAGTGTTCAAGGTCTTTTGTAGCATAAGGCCTACATTAGCAGATATCATATTAAATGTTGGAATTATTCATACTATAAATCCTTAAGGTAATCTGGACCTAGATCATTTACTGTCTTATACGAAAGCAGGCGAATCTTAAATTCCATTTTGAATTTTATATGAGAATCAATGCAGTTTGTGTGGTACAGGAGTTATTGTATACAGTATGCTGTGGTAGATTCATTTGGTAAGCACATGAACTATACAATATCGGACATACTACATCATATTTAGTATGTTACTGGACACCCTAGTAAGTAAGGCATTACTTACATTAATAATAATGGTCTAATCTGGATGAACTAAAAGCATGCATCAATTTTTCAGCATAAGATACAGTAAGGATCTTAACCTGACAAACAAACAGTTACACAGATGAGCATTGAATGACATTACAAGGTCAAAAATAACAAATAAGGATTCTAACCTCAGTCAATGTTTTGATTTCAACACAACAATCACACTGAAATGTCCAACATTGCACAGATGTTGCTGCATGCCAATAAGCGTAACAGCAGTCGTATCATATCATAGTTTAGCATAAGAAAGACGTATTGTAATATGGGACAGGCAGCTGTAAAGAGCAGAAACCACAGGAGTCGTATATGATTTTGTTAGTTTGCTATTGGCCACTAATCTGACAAAGAGCTAAAACATGTATATAATCCAGAAAAGGTCTCAGTACGGAACCCTGTTGAACACCCTTAGTAATTGGGACATCAGCCAGGATTTACAAATTGTCTCTTCTTAATTATGTTGTCTAATATCTTAATTATTGCTAAATATCCACAAAGCCAATGAGGGAAAGTACCAGTAAGCCCTAAATTTCCATACAATACAGTAAAATCCCTGTAAAGGCGCACAGTGCTGATGCAGTGTAATGGACCCTATGCGGAGTTCCGGGCGCTGGTCAGAAAAGATGCGAACTTGGAAAGTTATCGGTACTACCAAAGTCAAATGGCTACACAAGAAAGGGGTTAACGGGTCTGATCTGCGCCATTTGCAGGGAAAGCCTCCAGCTGGTGCTTGATTTGGGGTGCGACCATTTGTGTGGAGGATTCTGAATAGCAGCGGGTGTGACAATACCATAACCGACAGTGTCAAAAGTCAAGAAGAGGAGAAAATGAAGTGACCCACAATCAGGAAGTCATTAACTTAACAGGCTTTGTTTCAGCACTGTCCTTGTTTAAGCTCTTGCCGAGGTCTCAGTATTTTGGTATCGCATTGGCACCTTCAATATGTTAAATCCTATTTTGAACAAGGGCTTCTTACTATAAGTATCACCTTGGTGATGATATACTGTAGCCTCTGACATGCACGGCTTCTTTGTGCTCATGCCTGAGTTTACAGGATGTGTATTTAAATAGTGCGTTACAGTAGCATACAAATCCAGCGTAGTATGTCCAGGTACACGACAGTGCCTGAATTAGTGTGGTTGTTCACAGTACCGTTTATGAGAACCTGCCCAGGATCTATGAACAAATGAATACTTCAATTAAATACCTTCACCAGAAAGAGACCTCTTAGTGGTTTCCTCACATCTCCCAAAAGCTTTCTATACATTTGACTGGCTATTCTAAATGGTCCCTTTTCTTGTGTAATAATAATAATGTTTCTATATTAGCCCTATACAATTTCTTGCATTAGGAATGTGTCTTTTCACATACCCCAGCTTTTCTCCATGGAGACACAGACACAGAGACAGGGAGAGAAGCTTGGGGTCAGAGCACAGGGTCTGCCATTGTACGGCACCCCTGGAGCAGTTAGGGTTAAGGGCCTTGCTCAGGGGCCCAATGGAGTAGGATTCCTCTGCCAGCCGCGGGATTTGAACCAGCAACCTTCCAGTCACAGGCACAGATCCTTAGCCACAGAGCCACCGCTCTCCCCAAATCGATTAGTGTTGAGGGCAGGAGAGGTCAAACCGCACAATCCTGCCTTGTTATACAGTAACTTACACTTTCACAATAAGGCCTTGGGTGCTGTGAGCCTTACAAGGACAAATGTCTTCCCTGTATCGGACAGAAATGGGTGTGGACCTTTTCTTTCACACTTACAGCTGTCTTATTTTAGGAATATTCATGTGGAGAAGCTCAATTGTATTTTTTACCCACTTTTAGAAAAAAAACAAATGAAAAAAGAGAAACAGAAACCGAACACCTAATCAGAACTCGGTTGTACTTCTGTAGCGTTGAGATAAATATCCGTAAGGCAAAAGTGTTTGAGATCTCCAGCCCAAGACTCAATTTGACCCACTTGGCAAGAATTCAGAATACAAGTACATAATCTATACCCAGAGGTGGAAACTGTGCTGGTATAAGTGCATTGCTTGCACCTTAGGCTTGATATAATAATGTATACTCTGAGTGTGTCTGCATATGGTCTAGCCTGATCACATGTGCATTTCTGGTGGAAACATTTCCATTGTGTAACCTGCCATAAATAAATTATAGCTATTACTGACTTCAACATAAGATACTTATTTTGAAATACTGTGCATTATGTGCATTATCTATTGACTTTAAATGGAATATATAGGAAGCCCCTGCCTAAAGAATTAAATCGGTCTGGATTTACTTTCTCAGTATGAAAAAGAGCTTTCACTTCCCCAATTCTGTTCCATCTTAAAAATGCACATTTTTTCTAGTTAATAGTTCTGGTAACGTGTTTTGAAGAGTTTATTATTCATGTTTGTATATTATTTATGTTTGTAATCAAATCTTTCTGCTTTAAATTGCTTTGTGGGGAAATGTACAATAGGAATGGAGTACATGCACACTCTCATAGCATAACAGAGGTCCATTTGGGGTTTCAGCTGAAGGCTAAATAAAGACTGAGCAGTTTCTAGCTAAGGGTTTCTTGTGTGGTGCACTAGAGAGTGATGCAAATTTACTGGCTTCTGCTCTGAAAAGTGTTAGTGCAGTGACGAGCAGTCCAGCGTTCAGATTCTTGGCACATTTACTCACCAGCTGTTGCACATGACTGTGGACCCAGCTGGAAGTCTGAGGAGAGGAAGGCAGTTAGCTGAAGACGGTACCATGGCATGTAGAATAAGGAATCAGGCAACAGAACTGCAGTATTTCATTTATCTGGAAGACAAGACTGTGTACCAAATGTATTAGGTCCTTTGCTTATTTCAGGTAAGCAGCAGGCATTTTGTTGTCCATCAAGCTTTTCGAGTCCAAAACTGTCCTTTTGTAATAATACTCTTTCTCTTTATCGTCACACAAGCAACATTTGTGGATTATTTTTTTTTTAGAACAGGCAAGTCATCGGTGTCTTTTAAACAGTGACTGTGCTTCATGTAACACGTTTTTCTCAAAGCACTTTAAACACATTGAATAAGGCATTAGGAAGTATACTGTACCATGCCAGAGCACAGTGACATACAGCCAGAAAACAAGTAATATTGGCTCATTTGAAAAAATCGTCCCCTTGCTCAGAAATCTTTTTAACTAAAGTTCTGGCCTAAAAGGTTGATTTGCGGACACATGGACATTAGACTTTGTTCTGTAATTTTCATCAAAAGAATGATGTATTCTTTTGATGAAAATAACGGAACAAATCTGAATAACGTACAATCATTCTTTGAAACCTTTGACTGAGAAGTATTTAGCAGTGCACTGCAGCACTTCACTATGCTAGTTTGTATGCTGAAGCTAGTTTTTTGTTTCCATTGTGCCACTGTTTGAAAAATAGATCTTCTGCAGAGATTTTTAAATCATTATCCTAACACTTCTTTATTTGACTAATGGTGAATATCCTTATTTTTCTGTTATGCAATTTGGATTTTATTAATGGCATGCTATGAAAGAGAAATCCCCAAACTAATCTGCCCACAAGCCTGTAGAACTGCACTGTTTTGCACTAGGAATTTAATTTTAGCATGCATGACTCTAATGCATCTCTAATGAAAGTTTACCAATGCAGATTTGCAGTCTGTATTGTAAATCTGCAATTTCTCTCTTGGGATCAATAAAGCATCTATCTATCTACTGTATACTGCTCATAACATGCAAAGGCTTTTCTTTTCCAAGCTCTGCCATGGCTTCTATTATGCTTTATCACACACTTTGATACTCTGCATTTAATGTTTTTATCATGATTTCACAGGTTGTTTAATGTGGTGTACTCAGTAATATTCAAAATGCTTGTTTTCCCAGGAAATAAGTGTTTCAGGAGCACATATGCTCTCAGTCAGTACAGCTCTATGCAGTATGAAGCAGCTCTTCACTCACCTTTAATTAATCTTAATTGCAATCTTCACCATGTACTTGTCTTGCATCAGTGACTTGTGAATGTTCTAAATAATAAGCATCGTTAAATGTGGTTTACAGCTTCCATAGAATTCTCATTG